AGGGCTTCAGAACTTACTAGGCTTCTGCTAGGGTTCTAAGATCAACCCTATAAACCCTAAACCCTATAAATGCTAAACCCTATAAACCCTGAAGCCCTAAACCCCTAAACCCGAAACCCCTAAACCCCTAAACCCCTAAACCCCTCAACCCCTACACCCCTAAATCCCTAAACCCATAAGCCCTATACAACCCTAAACCCTAAAACCCCCTAAACCCGAAAACCCCTAAACCACAAACCTTATAAACCTTAGAAGCCCTATAAACCTTATGAGCCCTATAAGCCCTATAAACCCTAAACCCCTAAACCCCACAAGGTCTCTGGCCCGAAGCGTTGCACGCAGCCGCAGTAGACTTGATCCAACTCCTGCACAGGGAAGGGAAACAGGATAGATTTTCCAGAGTTGGAACAGTTTCGAGTGCCTCATCTGCGCGATGCCCCTTCTTCATGAGGAGCGACTCGGAGCGGAACAGGGAGCAAGTAGGAGTACGCAACAGGACCAACGCCGCCACACCCCTGTAGAGGTTGGATCGGGGGGCTCCTGCTCCTTTCACTTCCGCTGCTGCTTCTGCCACTGATCTTGTACTGACCCTAAACCCCTAAACCCCTTAACCCTAAACCCTATAAGCCCTCTAAGCCCTATAAACCCTATACCGCTAAACCCTAACCCTAAACCCCTAAACCCCTATAAACTATTCCAACCCCTGCACCCCTAAACCCTAATTCTAAACCCTAAACCCTAAACCCCTCCTTAAATCTCAAACCCTAAACCCGACCGAAACCCTAAACCCTAAACCCCTAAACCCTAAACCCTAAACCCCAAAACAAGAAGGGCAAGAGGGAACTACTGGGGAACCTAGGAACCCGAAGCCCGAGCCCGGAGACCTGAACCCACCAGGCGCACGCTTAAAGTTCCCAAAACCCCTATGGGGTTTAGGGGTTGAGGGGGTTTTGGGGGTTGAGGAGTTTAGGGCTTAGGGTTTAGGGGTTTAGGGGTTTAGGGTTTAGGGTTTTGGGGTTTTGGGGGTTTAGGGGCTTTGGGGTTTAGGTTTTAGGGGGTTTAGGGGTTCAGGGTTGAGGGTACAGGGGTTTAGGGGTTTAGGGGCTTTGGGGTTTAGGGGTTAGGGGGTTTAGGGGTTAGGGTTTAGGGGTTTAGGGTTTAGGGTTTAGAGTGTATTCGGTTCCTGTACCCCAAACTTACAAAAACTTCCTTCCTGGGGATGGGCTTTGTGCTTGAGCTGTAGGGTTGTTGATTTAGTAATTGAGGGATCTGACAACTTGGAAGGTTTCAACGTTGCTGGGCCTGCAATGCAAGCGCCTCTGAACAATCGAAACAAGTCTTGTGAACGTTGAGATGTATGCAACATAAGATCATCTAGGTGCTCAAAACATTATCCATTTTGCTCCTGCGACCATCATGTAGGCTTGGGGGGGGTATAGGATTTTAGTGTAGGGTGCAATTCTTTGGCCATCTATACTCGAAATCTTAAACCCAACACCGTTATCATTGCACGTCTCTCCCTTGACCCTTCCACGTCCTCGAGGAACTGTGGCCGAGGCTGCATGAGGACCTGTTGTCTCGGTGCTTCCAGTGTCTGTAGGACCGTTTAGCGGGACTTCTCTATATGAAGTCGACCAGTATTGAAGGATTCGTGTCAAGCCTTTGCAATTACGGGCTTGGCGCGATGAGTACAGGCTTGGGTGTCTTCTGGATTCTGTGGGTCATTAAGAGACTGGAGCTCATGAAGCGACGCTTGCTTGTGCAGGAGATGGTGTGGACACAGCTAAACAACTACATCTTCGGTATAGATGCTACACCGAATCCTGCCCTAAAACACTAAACCCTAAAACCGGTAAGCCCCAAAAGCTAAACCCAAAACCCTTAACCCGAAAGTCCCCAGTCAGATGTGCCAAAGAGGTCTCAGGGCTTGGGGCCTCGCAACGTGAACACAGGTCATAAAGGAACCCGACATCCTCAGCTGAAGGGCTGGGTCTCGGGCCCCGGGTCCCAAACCCTAATCAACCCCTCCCCCCTTCGCCCCCCCCCCTCCAAAAAAAATAAAAATAAAAATAAAAATAACACACACACACACACAACAAAAAAAAAGCCTAAACTCCTAAACCCCTAAACCCTAGGCCTAGACGCCCTCAGACTCTCCGAAAGATCCCGAGATCTACGGCTTTGGGCACCCATAGAGGGTTTAGTGTTTTTCGGGCTTAGGGTTTAGAAACCCCTTCAAGTTGGAGGGTCGGGGGACTTAGGAAGTAGTTATTTTTTCGACTTATAAGTATCATAACCCCCAGTTAGGATCCCTTTTCGGGTACTTTTGACTCTATTTAGTACCTACTTACCAAGTCCCCCGACCCTCTAAGCAGCAACCCTTAAGGCTTAATGGGGTACCTACAAACTTCTATAGTCCCTTTAATGAAGCCTAGTAAGGGTTTAGGGTCCAGGGCTTAGGGTTTACGGTAGTATAGGACATTCTGTAGTAGAAACCCTTTCAGGAACCCTCGAATCGAACCCCAAAGCCGGGCCCTTCCCGGACTGCAAAACCCTCAAACCACCGTCAAGGCCTGGAAAGCCAGGAGCTGTCCCCAAGCTCTGCGGTTTAGGGTTTAGGGTTTAGGGTTTACAGTTGGTTTACAGTTTAGGGTTTAGGGTCTACAGTTTTGGGTTTAGGGTTTACAGTTTAGGGTTTAGGGGTTCAGGGCATAAGGGATCTGGAATCCCAAGGGTCCATGCACCAAAATAGTCTGCACATAGGTACTTTGGGGCCACTGTGTATCAGAATATACTGTTTGCACGAGTGCACCCTTAAGGTAAGTGTTGAGGTTTGAACCGGTTTGAGAGTTAAAGGCCTGTCTGCTAAGCAACTAAACCCTGCACCCCAAACCTCCAACCCCTAGCCGTAACCCCTCCCCGCTTCCAAATAACAAAACCCCTAGACCCTATAAGCCCTAACCCCAAAATCCCTAGCGGGACCCCGCCCCCCACCAAATAACAAAGGAGGAACAGGCACCTGAGCCCAGGAAATGCGCCGACCGCCCGAAAGGCGAAGCCGGACCTGAAGAAAGGTTTAGGGGTTTCGGGGTTAAGGGGTTCAGGGCTTATAGGGTTTAGGGCTTAAGGGGCTCAGGGGTTTAGAGCTTTAGGGGTTTAGGGGTTAGGAAGGTCAGTGGACCAAGGTGCCCCCTGCAGGAAACACGGACGAAGGCCACCCCTAGGCTCCATAGTAGTTCCTTTTTGTAGTTCATATTCATATTTAGGATCCTATAAGGTATTCCCAAAAGGGCACTACTATGGAGCCTATGGGTACCAATGGGTAGTGTTCATTCCATGCTTTCACGTCAAGGGGGGGCTCTTTCTATGCAGACGGTGAGCGTAGGCAACCAAGGAAGCAGCTGCTGCAGTACAATGCCCTCACGAAGGTACGCTTAAGGCTGTTTGTATTTCGACTTCATCAAACGAAGGGCACGAAGCAAGCGGGCAGGCCCACACCCTACCCCGAAACCTGATTCCCACACATTGTAAGCCCTACCCAAACCCCCAAAAGTAGGTGAAATAATGGCCCAAAACCTCTAAAGGGCTATTATTCTACATACTTTTGGGGTCCGGGTAAACCCTAAACCTTAAACCCTAAACCCGTTTACGACTGGTCTTGCCTTGTATATGGTGCCCTCGATGGCACCTTCGCTGGCGCCATCAATGCACCTGAAGTTTGGGGTTTAGGGTTTAGGGCTTAGGTTTTAGGTTAGGGTTTGATGTCTTTGAGGTTGGGAACCTGAGGGCGTGGGTCAGTTGTCGAATACCGTGAGGGAATGTAGTCTTTTGAGCTTGCAGCGGCAGTTTCAAAGCACCGGGTTTGCCGGGCTTACCTCGACATTGCATTGCAGTATGGCATCATCACCGCAAGAGCCTTGTGGCCAAACAGGAACAGGCTTGCCTTGCGGCAACCAAAGGGTGACCCTCCCTCATGAGCATGCTCGGTTAGGATTTAGGGTTTAGGATTTAAAGTTTAGGTTTTAGGTTCTGAAGGATTACTGTGCCAAAAGCATCCAATAGGAGCAAATTTGTTTGGCACCGGTTGTCATCCCGGGCCGTTCTTTCTGCCTAGAGCAAAAATCAATTTGCACGAGGCCTTCTACCGCCTTCTCGCCCCAAGTAGGTTGCAGTATCTATTGTAAAGGCTTACGGCTCCGTAAAGGTTCAAATGGGTGTGTGGGGCTTGACCATTCCTGCTCAGGGTCCAGAGGTTTGGGGTTTATCTTTAACTTTTGTACATTGGGGACGACGTACACTCGAGGGGGCTAGAGGTTCAACTATGTGCCGTAGTGCATTTGTGCGATAGGGATAGAACCCATAATGTCAAGGGCGATTTGCTCCGCAAGGTTAATGCACCCTGTCGCACACGAGCAAGTACCGCTTCATACCACTTCTGTAAACGTGTATGGTGCAGGGTTTAGGGGGTTTCGACACACGGTGACTCGGCGGACTTTTCGCAGTCATGATTTATCAAGGCTTCCATCCTAAGGGAATTTAAGCTGGGTGTGGGGCTTGGGGTTTCGCCAGAGGCGAAAAGCAAGCAACCTGCTAGATACCAGGTTGCGCCGAACCTACCCACACAAGTAAGACAATGCAGGGTCTATAGTGTAGTTAAACCTTATGTACAACCGTAATCCTTAGACGATGTCAGCAACTTCTGGACGTAAGAAGCCTTCAACAACCGCTCATTCACCCTCCCTTCCGAGTGCATGACAGTTCCACGACAAAGCAACAGAACACGAAACTCAAGGCCCACTGAAGACCCCGTTGTGGGCGCGACTCAGAACACCTCCCGGAAGCGATTTTTTGACGTGGGGCATAAAAGTACCAGAACGCACGAATCAATGCCTGCAGTGGCGTTGCAACTGCCCACCGGGATCTAACCACCAGCTGCCGCCAGCAGCCGTACCATCTCGCCGTGGCCGTGGCGACCAGCTTCAGAGATAGCGACAGGCAAGTCATAGGTTCACACCAGTGTCCAGGAGCATCCGAACTATGTCGGTGTGGCCTTCAATGGTTGCACACACAAGGGCCGGAAGCCGCTTGCACAGGTGACGGCCTTTAATGTCCAGCTTAGCGCCGGCCTGCACCAGCAGTCGCGCAATCTCAACATGGCCTTTGATGGATGCTTGTATGATCGCTGTGTTCTTGGAGTCCCTATTCTGCACATCCAAGTTGGCACCGGCGGCCACCAGCAACCGCACAATCTCAATGTGGCCTTTGTCGGCTGCAAGCATGAGAGCCGTGTTGTCGTCAGTATCCCTCTTATCCTTTTCAGCACCTGCCTTCAGAAGAATGCGTGTGACCTCAAGGTGACCTCTCTCGGATGAACGAATGAGAGCTGTCTGCCCGCGGTCATTGGCCAAGTCTTTGCTGGCACCAGCTTCCAATAGTAAACGCACGATCTCATGGTTGCCTTTGTGCGCTGCTTCAAGCAAAGCTGTTTGGCCACCCCGCCATGCTCGATAATCCATGGTAGTCGAATCAGCTTCCACAATCAAACGAGCAATCTCAACGCGATTGTTCAAGCATGCAGACATGAGTGTGTCTTTCATTCTGCAAGGACGGACGCCAGTCTGAAGTATCGAACGCACAGCCTCAACTTGTTCGCGGGCACATGCATCGTAAAATGCGCTTTCAACCGTAGGCGTAAGAGCACAGGTAGCAGGCAGCAGCACTAGCTGCAGATGATCGGGAAATTCGAGCTCGGCAATATCATCCACTGTGGAACCATCCCGCACGAGTTGCTGCATACATACAGGGAAACCATGAACCTGCTGAAGAAGATGCTTCAGCTCTTTCACTGTCCTCTCGCCACCGAATCGTTCCTCTTTTACGGCTGCAAGCTCTTCACCTGACAGCTTCCATATGCGGAGCATTATTGGGCCATGAATTAATTAAAGGTTTGGAGTCATGGGCCTAAGTCTACCGAGTGTAGGCTCGGATTGATCTTTCTACCGTCTGAATATCATTGCCAAAGCAGATAGGAGTTCCCCGTACCCTTGCCCTTCCGTACAAACATCACTTAAATTATCGATGCCGGGGGGGATGATGCGGAATGAGGCCCTTTAAAGTGCTTTCGCTTGCTTTAAACAACCTTTAGCCACATGGCTAAACAGTGATTTTCCTGGGACCCTTGAACTTCCAGCAAATCATGGTTCAATGAGGGTGAAAAATATTGGTAGGCTGCCGGGAGCGGGACCACGAAAACTGCATCTGTCTCGAAATGGCTTCGGCAGTTGCATGGAAGAAGGGCCACCTTGTCAGGCCTGCAGGATTACATAGGTTGTCTCTTTATATATATATATGTATTTATATATATATATGCATATATGAAAGGCTTCAGGGTTAAACTATATTAGGGCAAAGCTTCTCTATATGAGCAGGAAATGAGGCAACCACAAAAAGGCTACAGGATCTGCGTGCACAGGCACTTGGACACTTTTGCGGGTCCAACTTTAAGACGGGGGAACTTGTCACGTGGAGTCTAGAATCAGATTCTGGGCGAAGGATAGGAAGGTTCCTTGCCACATTTCCTTCAACTGCGGCTGTAGGGTTTATTGCCCTGCGAGGCCCCAAGAACCCACTCAGTAAGCTGGTAACTCGCCTCAAGGAAAATAATACTTGTACACAGGTATCTTGGGAGTATACAGCCATTTTGAACCCTAAACCCTAAACCCTAGAAGTTCCATCCCAACTCTTATTTGAGTCCGAGAAGGCGGCTAGGCATACGGATCCACACCTAAGGGCGAACCCAGCAAGTGTGTACTGCTTGCGAAGTATGTTTTTTGGGGATTTAGGGTTGAGGGTTTAGGGAACATGTAGCCACGGAGTAGGCATTTGGCCCCTAATTAAGAGTCAGTTAAGATCCTGACCTCCCAACTCTTGTTAAGCGTACGGAACTCGGTGGGGCTTCACATGTCAAGGCGCTTAGGTTTCTGAAGTCTCCTTGCTACCCCTACTTCCTTGTTCTTACGTACTTCAAACCAAACCCTAAACCCCAAACCCTAAACCCAACACCCTAAACGACTTATCCGTGGTCCTTATTAGACAAGGCACCAAGTAAAGTCACCGTCGTCTGGGCCCACAATTCGTGCCGACCTAGTGGCAGGCAGCAGAAGGAAGTGCTCATTGAATTCAGGGTTCCCCGAACTACAAGCCTTATAAATATTCCCTAAACCCGGAACTCTGTGGTGCGTTAGGGCTTTGCACGTTGAGTGGTTTGGGCCTTTCAGTTTTCGAGCTGGAGGATTCGGTATTTAGGGGTTGTAGTGCCCAGACCTTCCACCAATATCCCTACAATTAAGGAAGACACCTCAAGTCATATAAGGGATCCTACCATAAATTCACGGTAGACTCCTTGATTCATTAAAGGTATATTTGAAGGTCTGGGCGCTTCTGCAAGACATCATCCGGATACTTCGGACGATCTTCCGGACGCGGCATGCAAGGGGCTTAGACTTGAGTGTTTTGGGATATATTTTGGGCTTTCAATCTACCGACAGTCTCCATTGTAGTTCCTTTTTTGGTTTAACCAGTTTTGTGGTTAGGATCTTATGTGGGAACCCCAAAAATTGAACTACAATGGAGACTAGGTAGGGCTCCAGCTACCTGTTTGAGGACTTTCATAAGGGAAGCATAATAAGGAGCCCTAAAACAGTAGGTTCTCCAGGGGGCTCAGGCAGAATACAGGGATCTAGGGTTCAAGTGTTTAGAGTCGAAGGACTAGGGGTGCAGGAGGCTTGAGGTTCGCGGTGTAGGGCTTTCTGCCAGAACCGGAAGGAACGTTGAAGCCTGGAAGATGGGTCCAGGAGTTCATGGGGTTCCAGCAGATTTAGGGTATGGCGGGTTTAGGGCTTACCCATAGGCCCCTAAGTAGTTCCTTTTTATGGTTTATATTTAGAATCCTATAAGGTAATCCCAAGAAGGGACTACTTAGGGGCCTATGGGTATAGGATCCAGGGCTTCTGGAGTTCG